AGCCCAAAAAGGCTGAAGATCTAAAGTTACAGTAAAGCACCACAAAGAGGCAGCCTCCATACCAGACTCCCCAGGGTCTCGCCCCACTTCGGTGCAGCTCATGGCCGCGTGCTGCAGAAAACTAAGCCTTGGGGCACGTCGATTGAGGGTTAATTGGGTTTAAATTAACCCGAATTAACACCCTAAGCCCTATACTATACACCCCAAACCCTAAGCCCTTGAACCCCATTTAGGACTAAGGCTTTGAGGTTCAAGAATTTCCCTTGGGCTCAACATAGCCCCAAAAAACCTTCAACAACCCCAAAATAAGAGGCCTTAGAGCCTTAGGGTTCGGGTTACTTTTTTCAAGAATAACCCTAAACCCTAAACCCTAAACCCTAAAACGATTAGTTTTGTTAGGGTCGCAGCGTCAAAGTGTGTCGTGGCTTGGGGACGGGGGGGGGGGGGGGGCTTGGGAGATTAGGCTCCAAGGCTTGGTCTTTAGGGTTTAGGGTTTAGGGATTATTAGGGTTTAGGGATTAGGGATTAGGGTTTAGGGCTTAGGGTTTATACAGCTTCTTGTTCTTCTAGGTAGGTTGCTTAGGCATTCGGCACGGTAAGTGTCGAGCTGCAGGAATTCTGCCTTGGTTGGCAGCCACATGGGCTTCCACAGCTGCTGCGTCTGGTGGTCCGTCCGGGAATAGCAAAGATCGCTTCCCCGGTGGTGCCGGGTCTTGAGGTGGTACCCAGCCGGAGGTGGTGGGCACTCTACTTGAGGGTTCATGGTAACCAATCATGACTGTACTTATAACCCAAATTATAACTCTATTAGGGCAGTTAAGGGGCTTATAAGTACAGTTTTAAGTACAGTTATAGTTGGAAAATAAGTACCATGAACCTTCAAGTAGGGCCATCTCGATGTTGCCATCCTGAGGTCCAGGTGGCATTCCACCCGGTGGTGGTAAGGGTGGCCCATTCTTGGGGTTTAGGGTTCAGGCTTCACCCTAAACCCTAAACCCCTAAACCCTAAACCCAGAACCCCAAACCTAAACTCTAAACCCCTAAACCCCTAAACCCAGAACCCTGTAAATCCTAAAGCCTGAAAGCTCAATCCCCCAACCGCTGAACCCCCGTAAGTTGAGCCCTACTGTGGAGTAGACCCTGGAAAAAATAGATACTTTTTAGGTATAAGTAGCTGTAATAGGAACCCAGAACCAAAAATGTATTAAAGTATAGTACTCCCAAACCCAGTGACCTGAACCCTAAACCCTAAAAACCCTAAACCCTAAACCCACTGAACTGATGCCCAGGTGCCCGTCCATCGCGGTCAGCTCATCCTCGAAGCAGTTGGTCCCGGTGGTCCTCTTGCGGTTCAGCTCACAGGTTCCAGGGGTGACGGTTTAGGGTTTAGGGTTTAGGGTTTAGGGTTTAGGGTTTACTGTAGGGTTTAGGGTTTAGGGTTTAGGGTCTAGGGTTTAGGGTTTGGGGTTTAGGGTTCGGGGTTGTTAATGGGGTTTAGGGTTGACGGGGTTTGGGGTTTAGGGCTGAGGGTTGGTGGGGTTTAGGGTTGATGGGTTTTGGTAGTGTTTGGGATTCAACGCTAAAGCCGAAAGCAGAACCAAATAAGACCCAGAAAGGTACCAAACAAGGATTATTCTGATTTGGAAAGCCTCAGAAGATACTAGACCCAGGAGTCACCTGGGAATAAAAAGGGTGCCCTTTTGGGAGCCGTGAAAAAAGGAAAAAAAAGGGCCCTGCTCCCGGGTCCTAGTATTCCTAAACCCTACAAAGAGGAAATGAGGCATATGTTTTGAGGCGCGGCTTGGAACTTCGGCGTGGATTCTTTTCCCGGCGGGGGGGGGGGGGGGGGGGGGGGAAGCCTTAAATACTTGGAAGCCCCTGTACATCCTACTTAGGAGTAACACGAAGCCCCCCCTCCAGAAGAATGCAAACAAAAGAACCTAAGAACCCAAAATGCTACGAACCCTACAAGCCCCCCACAACGTGCGTAATTCTCTGCAGTAGAATTCCCTTTTGTGGCACCCTAAAACCTAAACCCTAAACCCTAAACCCTAAACTCTAACTTTAAAGAACTCCCCAAGTGCAGCGGGGCCCGCGCCGGAGGAGCCCTATGGCCCAAAGCCAGCGGCGGGCCATCCCTGAGCTGCGTCCACCCCCCCCCCCCCAAGGGCAAAATTGGGGGGGGGGGGGGGGGGGGGGGGGGGGGGAGGGGGGGGGTTTAGGGTTTAGGGTTTAGGGTTGAGGGTTGAGGGTTGAGGGTTGAGGGTTGAGGGTTTAGGGTTTAGGGTTTAGGGTTGTTTGTGTTTGAGGTTAGGGCTTATCGGGATACTTGTGTAGGGTATAGGGTGGTTACCCCCTGAACCCTGGAGAGAGCTTTTAGCGCTGGACCCGCTATGGACCAGAACGATATGGAACCCGGAACCCTAAACCCTAAACCCTAAAACCCTAAACCCTACACCCTACACCCTACACCCTAAACCCTAAACCCTAAACCCTAAACCCTAAACCCTAAACCCTAAACCCTAAACCCTAAACCCTAAACCGCAGCGGGTGGTGGGGGGGGGATACAGGAGCGAAGAATTGCCACTCTGATCCCCATGTATTTGGGGGCTTCCGAAAACTAGGGGGTGCCCTTTTTGGGGGTCCCTTTAAGGGGCTTCTACTCCATTTAGGGGGTATAAAAGGGGGTAGTACCCCTGTGTTTGGAAATGCCCATTTGTACTCTAAACAGCCCTAAACCCTAAACCCTAAACCCTTAAAAAAAGGAGCCGCTGATCTGAGACATGCGTCGCCCGCTCGTCCTTCCGACGCGCGCCCGGAGGTAAGAAAGTGGGGTTCGCTATCTGATCTCCATGGCTGCGGAGGGTTTAGGGTTTAGGGTTTAGGGGTAGTTAGAAGGGACACCTATAATAGCCCCCAAATAGTAGGATTCCCCTTACAATGATATTGTAAGGGGAATCCTACTATTTGGGGGCTATTATAGGTGTCCCCTGTTTTCGTAAACCCCCGTGTTGTTCCCTCGTCACCCTCAGCAGTCAACTGAAGGGTACGTACTTAATGCCCTAAATAACCCTAAACCCAAAACCCAAAACCCTAAACCCTAGTTACACTCTGGTCTCAGAGACGTGTAGGCTTGATAGGGTTTAGGGTTTAGGGTTTAGGGTTTAGGGTTTAGGGTTTAGGGTTTAGGGTTTAGGGTTTAGGGTTTAGCCCCTAAGGGTCCATGTACCTAAGCAAGGAATGCTTGAGCCCCAAGTACCTCCTAAACAGGGACGTTTGGGGCCCAAGTACACAATGATTTGGTACATGGACCCTTAGGGGTAGTGACTACCCCCAGTTTAGTACTATTATCAGGACACCAATCAGGTACCCCTAGTTTCGAAAAGCCCCCAACGAATATTGGGATTGGTGTGGTGGGGGACCTGAATCCAGAAATAACAAGGGCGCCCTTCTGATGATTCAAGAGGTTGCGAAGGGAACCGGACCCTAAAGAGGGAGTAATGCCACACTAGCGTGCCACCCCAAGGACACTGAACACACACACACACGCACACACACACACACACACACACTGGGTTTAGGGTTTATGGTTGGGTTTAGGGTTTCGGGTTTCGGGACAGCAATGTGGTCCCTTTTCCCAACCTGATAGAACTGGAGGAAGTCCAGGTTGTCCACCTGGCTAATCCAGAGTGCCGCTGAGGGCTTTCAGGGATTTTTGAGGCAAGGGTTTAGGGTTTAGGGTTTATAGGGTTTAGGGTTTAGGGTTTAGGGTTTAAGGTTTAGGGTTTAGGGTATAGGCTTTAGGGCTTTAGGGTTTAGGGGGCAGGGCTCAGGGTTTAGGGTTTAGGGTTTAGGGTTTGCCTGTTGAGGTTGGGGCCCCAATGTTTGGAGGGGGTGGGTGGGGGGGTGGGAGGGGAGGGGCTGACCAAGACTTCCTGATTTGGGTGGTGTTGAAGGTCAGGTTGCTGTCTTCCGGCTTCATGGCCTGGCTAAGCGGGCCGGCCCCGAACAGGGTACTTGGGCCTTAAAGTACCTCCTACATGGGCGACTTTGGGGCCCAAGTATAAAATAACTAGGGTACATGGACGCTTAGGGAAACGCTAAATCCTGCCACTCACCCAAGCCCTTAAGCTCAACCTTGAGCCACGCGGAGCGTGAACCAAAAGACCTGTACCCTAACCCCAAACCCTAAACCCTAAACCCCTGACACTATGGGCACTAAACCTACGTTCCTCAGGTTTAGGGCTTAGGGTTGGGGTTTGGGGTCTAAGGTTTAGGGCTTAATTAGGGCTTAGGGTTTGGGTTTCGTATGAGATTCCAGCCTAAGGGTATGACTGGGCGTCCTAGCAAACCAACTATACCCCAAACCCGACAAGGACGCACACCTGATTGTAGATGACGGTTCCAGGGGTGAATGCCTTAAACCCTAAACCCTAAACCCCACACCCTAAACCCTAAACCCTAAACTCTAAACCCTAGACCCTAAACCCTAAACCCTAAACCCTGCTGCATCACAGTTTTGCATCCGCAGCTTTGCAATGTTGAACTGCGTGCTCCGATCAGATGCATTGAGCTGATGATTTTGCACGGGAGGGCTCCGATCAGATGCATTGAGCTGATATTCCCAAAGAGCCCCAATCCCTAAACCCCAAACCCTAAACCCTAAACCCTGAACCCTAAACCCTAAACCCAAAACCCTACTTTAAACCTTAACTCAGTCTGCTCTCTGCGTTCGCTACCCCTCCGGGGCATTCACAAAGAGACTCCAACATCCCCTTCAATTGTGAAATGGATCCTCCTAAACCCTAAACCCTAAACTCTAAACCCTAAACCCTAAATAACCCTAAACCCATCCTTACATCCTGAGAGGGATCCTACTGCATCCCGAGAAAGCTTCCCTAATGAAGGAGTTTTGGAGTCTGGCCAGGCCTGGCTTCGAATTTGTTACGCCTCAGGCGATTTTTTCAGAAGCAGCCTGGCACGTTGTAGAACCTGTTTTTTTAGAGGGAATCGTCTTCCGGTACACACTTGTTGGCTTCAAAGCTGTAGTAGTCTGCTGGCTCGCCTGTGCAGGACCGGGCGCTATACCTCGCAAACGTGATGTTCGCAGCGCCATTGGAGTGCACGCACCGAAACTGATAGCTAGACTCGGCGACGTCGCTACTGACGCACGGCCCCACCTCAACTGGGTCAAAGTCGGTCTCGGTGGAGTTCGCCAAATCGCAGCCTGCCGCGCTGTACCGAGTCCTGTTGCCTGACATCTGCCCCCCCGACTCGGTGGGAATCTCGTCGACCTCTTCCTTTGGGGCACATCCCTGAAGGACCTTAGTTGCTGAGTTCATGAGCCCCCCAAAAAAGCGGAGACTTTCAGTTCTATAGGGGATCTATAGGGGATTATGGTATCCCAAAAAGTGCAAAGTGTACTCACCCAGCAACTAAGGGACAGAGCTCGCCCACAGGATGGCCGATGCTACCACCAAGCGCGTGGCAACCATCTAGAAGTGAGGGCCAGCAGTTACGTGTAGGCTGGAGCTCCGCTCTTGAGCCGAATGTGGGGTTTACGATATTAAGGGGTACCTTCTTGGGGTCCTTATTACAAGGGGATCCGACTATTCGAGGGTTTATCTTGGGGTCCCCTATTTTCGTAAACTCCCATGACTCCCATGTGCTCTATGCAGCTGCACCCTGGGCTTTACTCAGTGCTTTAGAAGCACGCAACTATTGTCATGAGCAGTTTGATTGACAGGAACATGAGCCGGTAACCGATCCCAACGGAGGGGGAGGTTACAGCTTTCGTCTGTTTGTGGGGTCTTACACCACGAAGTTTGCAAGCCCAACCCTGAGCCTAATCTGAGTAAAGGGCCGTACACGTCCGAACGCCGCGGTCGCCCTCATAGTCGCATTGAGGGAGGTGCCTTACAAGCGTGCAGAAACACAGACCTACCAGCATCATCCCTAACCCTAATCCTAAATCCTAAACCCTAAACCCTAAACCCCAATAAGGCTTCAAGATGGCCCTTCTAACAAGGACCACAAGAGAGAACCCTCAAATCGAGAACTGCACTTACGGGGTCGTGTGCTCCAGCGGCAGTACTAGCCTCAAACTCTAAACACTCACTAAATCCCACAGTAACCCTAATTAGATCCTACCCCCCCCCCCCCCCGCCCATCCAAAAAACAAAAGCTTCAGAAAATCTCTACGGCGTGAGAATCTCTACGGCGGTTCGCTGCAATGTCTTGTGGAGGGGGGATTGGCAACCTCAACCATGTCTCAAAACTACAACTACCCAGCAGCCTGAACCCTAAGACCTAGACCCTAAGCCCTAGAAACCATAAGGGTTCATGCACCTGACTTATTTTGCTTGGGCCCCAAAGTCCGTATGTAGGAGGTACTTTAAGGCCCAAGAATTGCCTATTTCGGTACATGGACCCTTAGCCCTAAACCCTCAACCACAAACCAGCCCTATCCCTTAAAGAACCCAGAAAACCTAAAATACGAGGCCTTAGAGCCTTAGGGTATGGGCCCTTGGGGTGAGCCCTAAACACATTGGGGCGTACATGCTCTTGGAGAGTCCCAAGCTACACCGCTCATAGCATGGACTTGGGCTTTAGGGTTTAGGGTTTAGGGTTTTGGGGTTTTGGGGTTTTGGGGTTTTGGGGTTTTGGGGTTTTGGGGTTTTGGGGTTTTGGGGTTTTGGGGTTTTGGGGTTTAGGGGTTTAGGGGTTTAGGGTTTAGGGTTTAATTGGGGTACTCTTGGGTTTAGGGTACTTTAGGGTTGATAGGGTTTGGAGTTTCAGTTTTCGGGTCCTGGTTCCTCCTGACGCCTGGTTCCTGAGTTTGCGTGTTTAGCAGGGTAAGTTCTACGTCTTAACCCCTAACAAACCCTCTAAACCAAAACAAAACCCTACGAACCCTACAAACTCTACGAATCCTACACGCCCTGCTCACTCTACAACCCCCCCCCCTCCCCCCTCCCCCACCCCCGCGAGGCTCCGCACACCCAACTCTCCAGGCCGGAATCAGCAACCTCCCAGCGGGCAAAAGATACCACAGAACAAGAAGTTACATAGGGTCTAGGGTTTAGGGTTTAGGGTTTAGGGTTTAGGGTTTAGAGTTTAGGGTTTAGGGTTTAGGGCTTAGGGCGACATGACTTGAGATATTCCCTCCTTATACTAACACTCTTTAGTGGGGATTATAGTAGGTGGTACTATACTCCCTGTTCAGGACTGTCAGCATAAGGGGGAGGGGGTGCTTAAGCAAACAATTAGTCGATGACTCGCGACTCTATGCAGTTTACGCTTCACCCTTCTTGAAATAAGGAGTGGACTGGCACTTCTCTTCCAGGCCACGTCATGGAGAAGTCGCAATGCTCTCGATACATGGTCAGCTCACGCTCCGTTTGTCGAGGTCTACTTCTCAACCCCTCTTCGAGCAGGCACTCCAGCGACATGCCCGGTGGGCCGGCCGGGCATGGCGGCAAGGCCGCAAAGAGTGTTGGCTGCGATGCTCGCCAAGTGCTGCGAAGCCGATGTGTGGCAGAACTTGGTGACGGGGTAAAGGCCGGCTCAGATCTTCTGCCGGACTGGAGGTGCATTTTCTTAACTGAGGGGCCAAACCCCAAACGCCAAAGCCTACCCTAAACCCTAAACCCCAAAAAACCTAAACCGCAAACACGAAACCCTACCCCAAACCCTAAACCCCAAACCCTAAACCTCGGAGGTCTAGCTCATTCCTCATCGATGAACCCGAAGTACCCAACCCCTTTAGATGCATGAACTTGGGGGTGCCAGCGTGGAAGAATTCATGACTACAAATTGCTTAAGAACCCCCCAAAAAAGCAAAACATGTTCTTCCTTAATAAGGGCAATATAGGGATTACTGTTTTCTTTATTCTTTTGGGGATTCTTAAGCAAATAGTAGATGAAAGGTCTTGGTCTAAGCTCTAAACCCTTCAAGCCCTTGGGTTTAGGGTTTCAGGTGTAGGGTTGAAGAGGTGTTAGAGGTTTAAGGGTGAAGGCTTAAAGGTGTAGGGCTTAGGGTTTTTGGTTCAGGGTTTGAGGAGGTTTAAGGGTTTCAGGGTCTAAGGGTTAGTGCTCAGGGTTTAGGGTTCAAGGTTTAGTTAGGACACGCGCCTTGGCCACCTGAACATCCCAGCGCCTGCGAGACGCAGTGTTGGGTTGGCCCTTTCAGCCCTCACGGGTCTCGGGATTTCAGGGGTTTTTGGGGGTGTTTAGCGCTTTTTGGGTATAGGGTTTTGGGTTTGCAAGGTTTTTAGGGTTTTCAGGGTATGCAGGGCTTTTTCGGACTGCTAGTAGTAATCCGAGCTTCTGATTAATTGGTGGCCCCCCCCCCCCCCCCCCCCCCCTCCACAATAAGGAATGCAGGGTTCCGCAATAGTTGGACCATGGCCCTGTATTGATTCTCTATTAAAAACAAAAGGCTGCAGATCCCTGAGGTGCTGTAGCTTTGCGTCTCCGCAAGCAAAACAAGAAGCCTGCCGACAGATTTTTGAACCCCCCCAAAAAAAAAAATCCTTTAAATGTGGGGGGTTTGTCCCATACGAAATCCACCCTAATGGAAAGTAGTCTTCCGGCGGGCTTCCGGCCAAAACAAATTTCTTTAAATGTGGGGGGTATTAATTAAACTGATGCTCGGATTAGCTCAAGAGCCCAGACCAGGCTCCGGCAAGCTGGTCACCACGTGCAGATCAACTAGCACAGCACTCGTCCTTCGATTCCGCCTCTTTGTGACGTGTATCGAGGATATCCTGTCAGAAGCGTCTGAGGCGATGGCACCACTTCAAACTTGTGGACAAAACTCGCACTCTCAGAATTCACCTCCACAGGTGACAAGCGGATGCAGCGAGTCATCCCCCGTCTGCGTGCTATGACGCATGTAGTTCGCACATCGAACAGCACCATGTGCACTTCATTTGGCGGTTTGGCAGCAAGGTTCTGCTCACTCGAAATTTGCACAACGGCACATGCCGTAACTGCGCTCGAAACCGACTTGGCATCACGCCTTCAGCTGTAAATGGCCTAGCTGATGCTTTAGGTTTTTTTAGGGTCAGGGTGCAGGGTGTTGCGTTTAGGGTCTCCAGGCTTTAGGGTTTCCGGTTTGCTTAGGAAACGTGATCTTGTCACATCCACTGAGAGAACATGCTTTCCAAATATGGCCTCCCTAGACTGGGACCCTGCACCCTAATCCCCAACCCTAAGCCCTGAACCCTAAGCCCAAAACCCTAAACCCCAGGTGCTCGGACATCGAGCTCCAAGTGCACTCGAGTTTCTTTGGGGCTTTGGTGCTTGGAATCCGGTAGTTTGGGACTTAGGGTTTTACGGGCCAACGCCGAGAGTGACCTGCACAGGGTGTAGAGTTGAGGGTTTAGGGCTGTGAGGGTTTAGGGGTTTCAGGGGTTTAAGGGTTTAGGCTTCGGGTTCAGGGCTTTGTTGGGTTTAGGGCTTAGGGTGTAGGGGTTAGGGCTTCAAGCGTTTTAGAGCCTAAAGGGGTTCAAAAGGGTTGAGGGCTTAGGGTTTACAAGGCTTAGAGCTTGATGGCAGTCCTTTAGTTCGCCTAAACCCTCAACCCTGAATCCTAAACCCTAAACCCTAAACCCTAAACCCTAAACCCTAAACCTCATCTCTCAGGGCCCTGAGCCCCAAACCCTACTTGGAGGTTCATGGCACGTCTTAACCAGTTATAACTGTACTTATGACCGTACTTCTGACCATATTAGGGCACTGAAGGGGCTAAACCCTGAACCCTAAACCCTAAACCCTAAAGACCCCAAACCCTACATCCTAAAGCATTCTGAGACTTTGGCTTGAAGACGCAGGTCGACGTGGCGCCGGAGATGTAGGCACGAGGACCATAGGTCAGCTGCCTGCCCGTAGCTGCAACTCCAAAGCCTAAACCCTAAACCCTAAACCCTAAACCCCCCTAAACCACAAACCCTAAACCCTAAACCCTAAACCCTAAACCCTAAACCCTAAACCCTAAACCCTAAACCCTAAACCCCAGCCCTAAACCCTGAACCCAGGGCTTCGATTCTTCGACACCTTACAGAGGAGCAAAGCTGTGGTGCTGCTTACCTCCTTAAGGCCTAGGCGACGCTTGGGGTTTAGGGTTTAGGGCTAGGGTTTAGGGTATGGGGGTGATTGAGGGAACTTAGGGAAACCCATTTAAATCCTACACCCGAAGCCCTAAGCCCGTGCCAAAGAAACCCAAGCCCTAAACCCCGGGCTTGGGGTTTAGGGTTTAGGGCTACGCTTAGGGTTTAGGGTTTAGGGTTTAGGGTTCAGGGTTTAGGTCTAGGGTTCAAGC